AATTGTGCGAGACACATGCCAATTTAAGGCTCGTGTCACCGAAGTGCTTGTTCTTGTAAACGTAAAATAAAGCTACAAAGTGCGGTTTTCTGTAAAATTCGACCTTTTGACCTGTCAACAACATAAAACTAGGATCAATCGTGAAATCGTGTTCAGAACAACATACTGCTGTTCTCGGTAACGTCTATGTTTAAAAGCTTGGAAACGCCGGATGAGGGTCGCATCAACTCCCTCTCCCCCTATCAATCCGAGTTATGCAAAACGGCGGACCGGGGCGATGGTTAAGACATACAGCGAGTATAGGTACTTACCATACGTACAACGCACATGCAGGAAGGGTAATACTATCAGCGACATATTCCTTAGCGTAACAATACAAGAATCCACACTTTTGCACTCCGATCTGTGGGTGCCAAAGCTCTCCCGTTATGTCACTCTGGTCATAATTCGGCCAGATATTCCGGAGGCTAGACAATCTTGAAAGAAACAGAAAATTGCACGATATGCTGTCATTTTCACCGAAAGGGTCATCTAAATAACTTGTCACTGTCAATCACGGAAACATATGTGATGCATGTGAGCATTGGGCGTGGCAATGTTTTTAAGACATAAGTATTTTTGAAGGCGTATTCGCATTGCCCTGCCATAAGACTGTCGTTAGTGAACGGAGACACGCACTGAAGCTAATTCTCGATAACAAATCCGATCGACTTAACCTACAATGGCCCGTTGTCTTGGCCGATTCTGGACCACTACCTGGCGCGTAATCTGATACATGACTTAACCGCATGTCCCGACTGAGCGGCCAGAGGGGTCCACGAGTTTACCAGAGATGACTTGTTGGACTGTTAGACGCTGCTACGGTACTGTCATAATTTTTATTTGCCAATTTTTTTGCTCTTCTCATTCATTATGGTCATTTTTTGGACTTCGCGGTTCCAAAAAGATCCCCTCTCAAAGGGTTTTTGGAACCCTCGCCCTTCTCCCACCCCCTCCCCCCCACCCCACTTTTCAACAGCCAGACCCCAATAGAGTTTTCCGCTAAGACTTGAGACCCCATGCATTTCCTGACCGAGGTTGAAGGACCTCTCCGTTCCCTTTCAGATTTCCAATCGGTTGCTATTACCGCACATAATACGTTGGTCCCCTCTCTGACGTCGAAGGTCCTCTGTCCGGGATGGTTGACCCTGGACGGATGACCCTGGATGGTTGACCCCGGGACCATTTACCGTTTCATAAAGGTCCCAAGATAAGCGGGTTTAATGAATAGCACAGGGATCTCAGTTCGACGCATTACGGCCCTAGAGAAAGCGGACAGAGGCCCTGTCCGGTGCTGGTTCCTGACTGGCATGAGGCTCTTCCATTAAGGCGCCCGTCAGGGAGGAGAAGGGGGGGGGGGGGGCTCCAGTCCAGCACGAGCGAGATCCCGAGATATCCGAATCGTCCGGGTGTCCGGTCCGCCGGGATATGTACCGCGGCGAACCGAGTGAAACCGAGTCAGGGGCCTCGGACTCTGACGCGAAGATGGCGGCGTGCCCGACTGAGCTGGCAGCGTTTCGACCGCGGACGGGCTGCCGCACGGACAGGCCTCGCGCGCGTGTGGCGGGGGTTTGATTCTTGGGAGAGTGACAGTGCGCGCGTGAATGGGCTCTTTTTTTGGCGACCGGGCTACTTTGTCCGCCGGCCCCCGCGGGCATCGATGCCGGCCGGACCGTCCAGCTGGGCAGCCTCTGGGCTGGTCTGTGTGCCCGAGCTCAGCATCCAACCGGTTGCACATTATTATTCCCACATATATACAGTGATTGAGCGGAAGCTTTGTCTGCAAATTTGGCGGGCAACGGCTTGTTTGTCGGGCGGACTGCAAGACTGGGGCTTTACGTCTCTGTAAGAGAACGTAGCGTGTATTCGCCTGGACTCGCCCAAAAACCGACTGGCACCTGCGAGCGTCGGGTTCCTGCCTGCCGCTGAGGCGGCCTCAGCGGTCGACCCTTGACCCCTGGCGAATCGGGAGACCCGCGGTCACGTGACGACACCGGATCAGATGAAGAGCTCGGAGGCACCATGCCTTTCCGTCCCCTCAGGCATTTGGTACGTGGGATGCGGTAGTGGTGTAGCCAGGACTCAATCCCAGGATAGAAAAGTTCAGAGATAAGCACCCTAACCACTAACCACCATGCCACCATCACCCCTCTGCGGTGCGAACTGCACCCGTCTCGATAAACTACAGACAGGTGTTGCTGGAACCCAAATTCTATACTTACGAGGTTCTGAAGCGTGAAAGGAAAAAAAACGCGTCGAGATTGATGAAATGAGTGGCGAATACAAGCTCACGATTCTCCCAATTCATTCAGCTTATTTATCGCAAACCAGCTCAGTGACATGCACTCGGCTCCGCTGTTCAGATGGTGAATCAACAGTGCCTTTAAGCGCGCACGTGCGTAGTGTTTTGTGTGACGTTTGACAGGCAGTTGAATACATTCGCAATCAACGTTTGCTTTTTTTACTTCCTATTTACTTGCAAGTAGGAGTGCGGTTCCCTATTCAGTTGCAGGGGTTTCACCCCCGCCGTAACTTGGGTTGCAGCCTGCAGATTTGTGAGAACGTGAGCCAAATTCGGAGAGAAACCAGTTCGTTGGCATTTTATCACGGTACTCCTCGTTGTATTTTCATCGCCAGGCCACCCAACTTGTTCTGGTAAACCGCGCCCGTTTAAAACGTACTTAATCAAAGGAACGAGTGAGCTGGGCCATTGAACGTGTCTAACCAGGGAGTAGTATACGAATTCAGTTGATGAGACAGCCGCCCACGCCCTCCCCTGGACAGTAAAAGCGTGTGGAATTCAGAATAAGTTCCGTTTGCAGGAGCGTGTGAAAGAATTTCCAATTGGAGGAGGGAGGGGAATCAGTCAAATAGAATCACTAACAATATAGGTTAGCATGGCAGGAGCTGGAGATCCATAAGCGCGCCTACCTGGATCAGACATCAAATCGGTCCGCCTTACACGTCAGTCATCAATTCCTTTAAAAAATGAGAAACAGCACCGACACACACAGTATAAAGCGGGACCAAATACCGCGGAGAGACTTATCCATAGCCCACAATTCCAAACCGCAGGCAACCCGACACGTGCCTTCCACGATTGCCGTGCAGCTACCGCCGAATAACCAGCTATTTCCGATGCCATGAGCCAGGGATCAAAGTTTTGAACTCTTTAATCCTCCTGCTGTCAATGGATTGCTGACGCGGCAAAGTTTATGCCCTCAAACAAAACGTTGTCCACATCCATGCACAGTGGCTTAACTGGGCAGCACTGTACAGCATGACGTCACTCGTCGGCTGAGGCGGGCGAAATGGGCTCCGGTAGCCCTCTATCGGGAGATACCCGAGCAATGAGGTGAAGGACTGCGAGGAAGTGGGACATAATCCCAAACCGTGGCTCTCACGCACGCTGGGCTTCATGAACACTGGACTTTATGATTATCCCCTGCGCAGGGGTTTTGGAGGTTTTCTGCATCTCATGAACGCTGGATGCTGCGATTCTGGACTTTTTTACCACTGGGCACTATGAACTATGGTAGTTTCAATACGCACCCGGAATGGGTCCGTCAAACCTTCATAACAATGGCATGGTGGTTCGGTGTGCAAGCAAAGATCCCAGCAAAATTGTTGCCTTCCGTTTGGTGTATGTTATGCGCTGTTTCACACCTGAACCTATTTTTTTCAGTGAAGACGCCGCATCAAAGTATTATTCTGTTACCGCATTAGATTTTCTCATGAGACCATGCGGCAAAGACAGTGTGGTTCTAAGTAAAACAATGTTGGGTTCGTAACCTCCCGTGGGTAGCAGACCAAATGACGCTTGGAATAAAAGTCTCCACGAGAGCGTGGAGATCATAGAGAATCAGTGGCGTCTATTTCACGTTAATGTTTTGGGCAATAAACGTCTGAGGCAATGTTTGGGGGGGGGGGGGCAGAAAACACGCTATATATAAAAGGGTTTAACCTATTTTATCTTAAGTTACCAGTCGCTCGAGGGAACAATTTTGCTGTCGCGGGGATCAGGTTGTCCGCCGTCATCCTCCATGGCGACGTCAGTAGGCAGAACGATCAAAGAGGATAATCCTGGTGTGATGGTCATATTTTACCTCCGCTTAGTGTAGCGTTTCAGTCAAAAACATAGTGGCCCAGTCCAACGCTGAGGGGGGGGGGGGTAGCTCAAGTTTAGGGGCCAGGGTCCGCACTAAAGAATGCAAGCCAACACCCATGCTGCCACCTGTCTTGCACCAACCCCCGAGCCCTTCGGCAGCACGAAGAGCCCCCTCCCCTTGCGGGTTACGCCGTGCTTCCACCAAAGATTGGCGTTTTCCTTGGTTCACCGGCTCGTGATCTAAAATCGACCAGCTCTTGAAAGCTGCCATTTCCGCCAGCCCTCACATCCATTATAAAATCCTACAACCCTGAACTTGACACGAAAACCTTCATAGCTCGAAGCTCACACGACGAAACGCACAGATGACAATAGGTAACGCACTGCGTCGCTGCTTTTGCGGTGCCTGGTGTTCATACGCGCTTCGGTGTCTTTGGAAACACTGGGAATAAGTGATCCAAGAGAAGCGCACAAGAAAGAACTGTGAGAGCCAACAAGAGAACTATTACTGAGGTTATCGACCTGTAAGCTGCTATGAGGTACTGGTTAAATGACCTTATAATGCTCACATTGGTTACGTTATACCAGGTCGTACGATGACGTTTGGAAGTCTCGAATTCAGGGTTTCTTTAATGAAAGCGTATGTTTAAGAGAAACAGCGAGTTCAACAGAGGCGTATTAGTGCCGTTTACGTCTTTGACTACCGACCTCCAAAAACATACGTGTGACCGGGTTGATAAATTTGAGTTACCAAACAGATTATGGCTCCTTAAATTACATATGCAGTGGGTATCGATGGCTCAGGGGTGGCATGGCTCGTGTGCAGAGTATGATTGACAACATGAATACGACCGATAGTAATATATTTCGGAACATCATCAAAAGCCCAACAACACCAAAATGAATTTAAACTAGAGCGCATAAGGTGTAGGACAGACCTAAGACAAAAACCATTCAGTGTCAGGATTGCTAAGTTTTTGAACATCAGATACAGGCGGGGTACGTGAGTACGGCAGGCTGGTTGGTAACTATTGCTTCTGTCCGCCGGCATCATTATATCAGTAATGGATGTTTAGATTCACCATGAAATGGCTGCCACATTGTGGAACTTGCGGTGTTACCACCAGGGCTTTTTGGGATAGCCTTGACCACCGTGCTTGATGTCGTAGTCGACGTTGACCTTGCTGTACGGCAGCTTTACATAATACCCGCCGCGGGTGCGGCCGCCGTAGTTGCTCTCGTACTTGCTCTGTGGAACGGCAAGCAGGTCAGCTTTGAAGAAGTGGTCAGCGATGATATTCACATTGATGTGTAAAAAGGACCTAAAATAGGAAAACGCCATGATAATGGTATTGTTTCGTCACTGACGCCAGCCAAGATGCCCCGACTTGGAAACGGGAACGCTTGCCAGCTTTTCATTCCATTCATGCAGGCCAGCATTTCCCGGTACCGGTAGAGGGCTGGCATTGCCATACCTGGCTCCACTAAAGCACTGCTGGCGTTGGTTCAGTGCGGGCTGCCGGTTTCCTGATAAAAGGTCCTGCTCTAGCAATACCATGGGGAGTTTATGAATAAGCACTTTATGAATCAGATCTATAAGCCGACCTAGAATGAGTTCGCCAATGGACGGTGACGATAATGGACATGTGGGACGGGGGGGGGGGGGGGGAGTGAAACGGGGAAGCTTCCTTCGCGAGATACATGTTAAGTCTTTGCCTCATGAAAAAGGATGAAACAGGCCATGCCTACGTCCTCAGTTAGACTGCGACTGCCAAAGTTTATTCTCACCTGAGAGGCTCGTTCCCAAGGGTAGTAGATGTCGTAGTTGTAGCGATAGTTGTGCTTGCCGTAAGGTGCGGGCTTGTAGTAGTCTGAGGAATATCCTCCGTCGTCCTTGCCATAGTACCGTGGTGGACCGTACGGGTACTTATAGTTGTCATAATAGCTGTCAGAGTCCGCCGCGACATACGCCACCAAGCAGAGAAGCACTAAGAACTGGTGGCAGGGAATTTTTGCTAGACAAAGTACAGGATTTGTTGCTAGACGTGCCATGAAATGTTGGAAGTCCAGTTTTAAAAAAAATCATGCACGATTTCGTGCAAGGGACAGCATGCCTGAAGTGTTTTGGAACGATTTCAAGTGAAGTGGTGCCATGCATAAGTGCCATGCATGCTTCAAATTTTTACAAGTTCTTATAGGTTTGTGACAACTAACTGAGATGCGTTAAGCCTAAATGCGTGGCCAGGCACCTTGGCTTAGCCTTTCGATAACCTTGCAATGTTTTACATGCTTTCATGCCCTGAGAAAATATTGATGACTTTCTGCAGTTAGTGCGCTGTTGTCAAAACGGCTGTTGTCAAGACACAGTAACTGCAGGAAGTCTGCGACGCAACGGCATATTTCCATAGGGCTTACAACGTGATCACCGCCGGCCGCTGTACTCGTCCGTATGCTTACCTTCATGTCTGTTGTCTTCGCGCTCGGTGTTTGCCGGAAGAACAATGTCTCAGCCCTGCCGCCCGGTGCCTTTATATTCCTCGACGCCAGCGCCTCGCCAGCCAAACGCCTGGGCCGGCCTGGTGCAGCATTTTTTCCTCACGGAGGCAGTCCGCACCTTGTACGAGGCACGCCCATTTTGCGCATTGGCGTTCCGGTTACAGTTTTCCGTGGCTCATGCAGGGGGATATGGTGCATTATTTTTGATAAAGGTCAGGTTTTCCCCCGCTTTGTCCACTGCGGTGACGTCACTGGTGCCGAACCGTCAACGCGGCGCGGCCGCTAGCCCTGGGGCGTAACTCTGCGGGCAGCAGGAACACCGGATATATTCATACACACATTGATATATTCATACACCCATTGAACAAACTTTGGGCAGGAGGTGCATTTGACCAGGAAGACGCGTTTGACAGGTTACGTAAACTTGAATGGCGAGTGTGATGATGTGCTTCGCAAGGCTATTCCGCTAACTATTAAAATGCAGCTGCGGTGTGATAAACGAAAGCGTGAACAGCATAATTGCACGAGATGGGAAGCTAAAATGTCGGGCTCTCCTCGCATCGATAATGAATAGTCTATCAGCGGCAGGTGCACATGGTCATCGAGCCAATCGCATTCAATTAAGCATCGAATATAATGATATGCTTTGAAAGGATATCCATCTAGCCAATACAATGAGTCGGCGAGGGAACTGAAAGCCCTTAAGCGAGAACTCCTGCATAGATGGGAAGCCGGTACATCGGACCGATTTTTCAAACCAGTGATGGACAAATTGCTTTGGGCACCCTCATAAAGCCGTGGAGGTGAACACAGATAATTTCATGTGGAGTATCATGATTCGTTAGTTACAGGTTGTGAAATCAACAACCAACATGAACAAATAAGCAAAGCACATGCGAGCTGTTCAAGACAGGCAGCCTGAGCAATCCGTTACCTTGCCGCCATTTATGCGTCAACCATTACTGGCATGTGCGCATATCCGCAAGCCCATCAGGTAGACTTAAATGTCAAGCATTATGATGGGCTTTGAGAGCCAATGCTCAGCGAAGCTGTAAGATTCAATGGGCGTGGGAAGTGAATACGCCTACGCAAGGGCACAAGTACTCGGGAGGAGGATGAAGCCATGATGAGAGCAGGCCATCACACGCTGAGCGGTGATGGTTGAGTTTTTTTTTTCTCGAAGTTAAGTACGCAATGACGTGTAGCCATATCTCTGGGATTGCGGGAAAATCAGAACTGAGAGGTCAAACTGGGATCTGGGTGGCATGTATCTTTGAAGAGGATGGCATGAAAACCGTGTATTGAGCAATAATGTTGGAAAGCAACATGCCAGTACAAAAATTGGGCGCGTGTCCCAAATATGGTCATGCGTGTTGCAGTTGAGACCGATTTCAGAAAACGTGACGCTGGCGACTTCCCCGTCACTAGCGCAGCATCTTAGAGGGTACGTTCCCCAAGTCGTACAGCTGGTTTCTACTACACTTCAACGCGGTCTGACGGCCCGAGATCTGACAACGGACCTGACCTGACGGTCGGCTCCATGGTTTGTGCATTTCGGCGCGATTGTCTGCACATGCAGACGTACACACACACACACCACACACACACACACACACACACAAACACACACACACACACACACACACACACACACACACACACACACACACACACACACACACACATCTTTAAGAGCGTTTGTCCGCTTCCGTTTCCGTTTCCGTTTAGACTCCCCGTTAGTGTAAGCCTTGTCGTTGCGAGGCCTGGCGACCATGACATGCACCTGTCTCAGGACGCGTTCTTCGGCTTTTTACGCTTTCATTTTTCTCCATGCTTATCAAATGCGGGGACGCAACAGTGGTAACAACGCAACGCTGCCGATATGCGGTGCCTGGTTGAACAGCCTGCATTCAAGCGCTTTGAAAATGGGCTGCGCAACTTTTGTGACATGCAGAAAACGTTAGTTAAAATGTGCTGACAGTGTAATCAGTTATTTTACAAAATAAACAACTGTCAGGAGCGTTACCATCGGGCCGGCCCGCTGAAGCTGTCAAACTTTTGATTAATCGACTAAAGCGACACTTGCACATCACCTTGCTCGCAACAACCCATCTTTGCCCAACCAAACACCCCGTTTTACTGGCTCGAAGCCTGGGCATTCCTTTTCGTTAGCTCTTCTGGTCGTGCGGTTACAGGAAAGTCAAATCAGTGTTTTACCTACGGCTTGATTTCCCATAGAGACTAGCGTTGGAGTCAATGGCACATTTCGCCAGTCCCTCGATCCGCCCATGACAAGGAAAACTGTTGATGGGCTTGTATCGCATTAGTTTCCGGGCGACTTGGTCGCTTCGTACATCGAACAACTCCCCATGACGGGCTAATTTGAAAAAAAATATACCTTCTTTGTTATTGCCAATCTTGTTTAGGAGTTGCTGGAGTGCAGAACCAATTTCTCACCTAATGTTTTATACCTCCTTGGAGGCAATGTTTGCACGATACGGAAAGTGGTCCGAAAAATCAACTGCCTTCAAGGTTTGTGTTATGTAATGCCTGATTTCATTTGAAGACATCAAGCTCCAAGCTTGTGTATAAGCCCGTCCCCCAGTCAGTCTACTGGGTCGATACTGAGTTGTACCAGGCCTTCCACTTGTACGGGTGAATATTTTTGCAAGAAGCGCAGTGCATGGAAAGTGGAAAGGGAGCTCTGGCATGTTTTGAGTCGAAATTTACCAGGGGACGAGTAATGCAAAAACCAGTCATCACTCGTCGTATTTAGTGGAAATGTCCTTTTGGAAGCGCTGCTGATAGCGCTATCCTGATGTCCTGTCGGGACATGCGCAGTGCTCAAAATGGGCTCAGGTGTGATCGAAGCATTACTAAACATCCTTCCATCTATTGCTATTCCCATTTCTTCCTCTCCACCAACGGAAACGATCTACATGAACCATACCGAAAAAGGCTAGGCGGGGGATCATGACAACCGTGTTTCTGTACAATATCAAGTGCCCTTTGATTCTGTGTCTTCCAAAAATCGTTGCGCGTAAAAGTGCGCAAATGGGTGAAGGCCATTCGGCCATTACTGTTTATGCGTATTAGCAGCCCTGGGCGCCACATAAGTTAAACTATCTAGGTGATTCAAAACGTCGCATGTGACGTCATCAGGTACGTGACCGATGTCAACTTAACGTTTTCTTGGTTAAACTAACACCGACCATCTACAGCGCTATTGCAAAAAGGCCCATCAGGGCGAGATTTAAAGCGCTTAAAGGTAGTGTTTCACATTGATATGGGGTTTGGAAGTAAAATATCCATCTTGAAGATCAGTCGGTTGTCCAGCGTTCGTAAGCAACATTTTCAAATATAATGACCGTCAAATAGCTCTCAATCAATGTTGTGCAAGGTACGATGACGTAATCAAGCAATGATGTATTGAGGAGTATGTTTGATAAACAAAGGCATTGTGTTGTCTGGACCGTTTTTTCCATTGAAGGGTACGCCAGTAGTTAAAAGTGAGCTTATTTCACCACATCTAATGTTTGATCCTGAAATGTGTTAACATTCCCTCTAATGAAAGTTCGCACACAATTGGTTATTGGTTATCATTTTCAAAGTTTAAAGTTTGTCACTCAGCAAAAGGTGCTTGCACATGCACGCGTCGATGCCTTAACTCACTGTATTTAGTTCACGAACAAATGCTGTTTTTTTACAACAAAAATACTGTCCAAGTTGGGCACATTAACCCTCGCCCTAAAAGGGGCTGGATCGATCCATCCGCACCCCCATCTGAGGTTCTCTAAAGATATTTCTTCGAATGTTGTGCAATCACGCTCACGCTTTTGCTAGCTTCTAGGGCCTTTGTTTTGCGTGTTCTGACAGCAGAAACATGTCTCTAGCATGTATGGTTTCGAAGAACTGATTGCCTTAGGAACACTGCACGGCAATCCGCGGTCAGTGCAGGCGACTGGCGGCAAACGACGAACTGGTCACTCGTGCCCGGCAAGTCCGCACTGGTACATCAACTGAATCCCTTATCATAAATGTATGGTAGAAACAGAAAAACTACACATCATTGTGCTGAAAATTAAACCAGGAACGCGCTTGCTTAAGGTTAATTTCGCTACGTAGGATGCTTCGTAACTTTGGCACGGAAAGTCAAAATGGCTCCATTTTCACGAACACCTTTCCTTTGATCTGGCCTATTGGGATCGCTAATTGACCTGACAACAAAACAGTTGTTACCGACAGCAACATCTCTTTGAGACCAATCCACCAAGTTTTCCGCGGGACTATCTCTTAGCTTAAAAACGGTAGTGGCGCATCAACCAGCGCATCTCCTTATCAGGCCGCGCAATGAAAAACGGCGAATCGGACGAAGGTAAATCCAGTCCACAACCGATAAAAAAGAGATAATAGATTTAAACTGCTGATCGAAAGCATGACGCACCAAGGAAAATTACGAACTTTCCGCGTAAAGCACGCTAACGGTGCGCTTCCAAAGCAGATTGCGCTGTCCTAAATGGGACACCCTGTGAGGCCGGACTTTTACGCCAGACGGTCACGGAGGGCCCGGTAGTCCTAAAGCCCTCTAGGTGGTCCTACAGCCACGGATACAACAAGGGCTGCTACCGGCATGGCTCACGAAGCAATAACAACCATTATTACAGATACGCCGACCACTCCAGGCATTGCGGCTACGGTAAGAGCTACGGAACAGGCATTACTATAGCAGAAGCTACGACGGCTATATTGGACACTACGGCAACTATGGCCAAAGCTACAGTATCTTTGGACAAAGCGATCCTAATTATGGCCGGGGCTACAGTAACTATGGCAGCTATGGCAAAACCTATGGCAATCACAGCCGGAACTACGACGGGTATGGTCGTAACTACGGCAGGTAAGGTCGGTACTATGGCTTGTATGGTCGGAACTACGGCGGTCACGACCGTAACTACAGCAGGTATGGTCAGAACTACGGCGGCTACGACCGTAACTGCG